CAGACTCTTGTTAACATTTGTAGAACCTTCCTTACTTCTTGAGAAAATGGCAGTACAGGTGATAATCTTCAGTGTTTGAACTGTGAAACTGGAGCACCTGTATAGTCAGAAGGTCTTCTAAGATTACTCCAGAGCCAGCTTAGCATCCCTTTCTGAACCACTGTCCTAAGAGTGATTCCTTTCTTTACTATCAGGGCTCCTAAACTGGCCATTGAATCTGGGTACTTAAATTAGGTCGGGTAAATATCTTCCTCTATACCCAAACCTCTATTGAAAAGGAACCTTTTTAGTCATTTAGGCCCATGTTAACCAATTAGCATCTCCCAGATTGAATCCATCTGCTATGTCAGAGCAGGGAAATGGAAGAAGTACTTCCCTGCCTGCCATGCTTGATGAAGCAGTGGTCAGCCATCATAAGGTTTGTAGCTCCAGCAAGAAGGACCTGGAGTATTTCATACCTGACTCAGACAGAAGGCAGCTCATGTGCTGACAGAGTGGTGTCTCAGCCCAACAGCCTCTTGTAGGTACACAGATATAGATATATCTCTGGCTCACAGCACTATGAAGGCTGATTTGTCCTGACAATACTTTTGAAAAGCATACCCTGCAAAATTTGCTCTTTGACGTCTTGGTCACATTTTAAACTAATTTTGATTTACTGAGTCTCCAAGACTCAACAAAATTGATCTAGCTGAGCAGTACGAAATTGTATCATATAAATTAATTAATTAATTCCACATCCACAACTTTTAATACTGATAATAAGTAACTGTGGAAGAGGACTACCATGTATGTGTGAGAAAAGGATTGGCATTTGAACTGCTAAGAATTAGTTATAATCAATAAATTAATCATTTAATAACAATGGTCACAGTTTGAGAGATACAATAGACCTAGTCTTAGTGCATGACGAATTTATTTTATTTATACAAAAATAATGAAAGATCCTTTATTAAAACACAGTTATAATGTATGCATGCAAAACTAGAGATAAGGTTTTAGCTGCCAAAATATGAAACAATAATAGTATTAGCAATTTTTGCACCTCCAAAGCTATTTTATCTGAATGGAAAAATTTGTGGAGATACAACGTGGATATCACCAGTTACTTACAGATACACAAATTCCAAAAGATAGCAGAAATCAGACAGATTACAAAATAAGACACAAAGCAGTTTCAGACTCACGTTTCTTTAAAATTATAAAATGTGATACATGTCAGCAGTGAGCTAATGCCAGTGCCCTACCTCAAGGGCTCACTTCTAGTTGCAATTTTTTTTAAGCAACCCCAACTATGGTAATTGATTTAAATCAATTCTTCATACAGACATTAGGTAAAGCCCCAATCATTGGCTTCATCTCTTGTTCACAAGAAATTTTGCATATAATTAACTTTTCAAATTGCAGGGTAGACTTCTGGGGCATGTGTGCATGCAGTGAGATTTTACAAATCTTTTAATAATCATTCATAAATGTAAGACAATGAGCTCTAACATTCATATGGCTACAAAAATCAGTTACTAAACATTACAGAAATGACTGATTATTTTCTCCTCCCATAGCAATTTTCTGTAATAATAATGAAGTTTCAAAACAGCTTAAATGTAATTAACAACTGTTTCAAGAGCATTACTTTCCAACTTCTTATAGAAGCAGTAAATCTGCAGCACACAATCAAGACGCAATCTTTACTTTCTGCTCGTTTGCTTATATTCCTCTGCATTGCTTACACACATTGGCTTTCATTGGTTACACTTTTTCTTTTTAAATAGGAAAGCCTTGACAATTTCACAATACCAGATCATGCCTTACAAACACTGAACAATGTTAAAATGAATTTATTAACACAGCATAAAACTGTGGTCCCTAAACCCTGACTTGTGGGGGTTTTTGAGACCCTCAGACCTTCCTCTGGGTCACAGGAAATTGTCACTATAGCAGTCACAGGAAGCTACTGCCACTACGATTCTGATTGACGCAGGGAGAAAAGTATGATGTTTCCTGTAACACACTATTTCTCTTTGTTGTTGCTGCTGAAGAGCCAGCAAAGACAGGAGCTTTTTTATGTATATAAACCACAATCCCTTTAATGTGTGGAGTCACAGAGTCTCAGCAAGGTTGTTAGAACTTCATATTGTAAGCCTCTAATCTAATATTCTCATGCCCCAGTCTAGATGTTAGGAAAAATATCTACTATACTACCAAAACAATACAAACCTCCCTATAAATCCAAACACATATGCCTACCCTAAGACAGATCAGTTGCAGCGTGAACAAAGTGAACTTACACATACCCAGCTGGCTTGGATAGCAGTAACACCACAAATTCTAGCTACTAGGCAATTACCAGGGTGCAGCCCTTTCTGGAGACTGCTATCACAGTTTCACTGTTATTGGTAGCTAAATTAGCTTCAAGGAAACTGAGTATTTGTAGATATGCTGTAATCATGCACTTTGGCTTCACTGCAACCCTGATTATACTCTGTTTATGTATATTGTTCCAATACAACATAGCATTTTGTGTTGGCTCTTCTGTGGTAATGCACTTTTATGGAACCTGATGTACTACTATACATCATCTTAAACTACAGACACCCTAACCTAATGCACTTCTTAACTGAAACACACATACATGCTGTGACTACTCACAGAGTTCAAGATTTTCTATTCAGTTCGGTCACTGCAATAATACATTTGGGTCACGACAGAACAAATCAGTAACACTAACGCTGAGCGGCACAGGCCTTTAAACAGTCAAGTCTGCCAGACCCAGATCCTTATCGCATTCCAGCTTACTCACACAGAAACAATTCTTTCACCCATGTATACCCGTGCATACAATAGAGACACACTCGTATCTACTTCTTACAGGCATCATGCAACCGCATCTCATCCGCTCACTCCCTCAACCCAAACTTACTACAACTTCTGCAGCTACCCAGCCTGCTGCTAACGTATCTTCATAGAGCTTTGCTTTTTTCCTGCCATCAAATTCATAATTTTATTCCCTCCTATTTTAACAGTTTCTCTCTCAAATTCATAGTTTCTTCTTTCTATTTCTGTCGTTTCTGCCACTTTCTGAATAGATGGAGACTAATTTTAATCTCAAGAAAGTATATTAGTGCAATTTGTTTCATTAACTTCATTCAATTTATGTTGGCAGTTTCTAAGTGTTCCAGGACAGAAACAAGGCCTCAACTATGCCAATCACTATGCAACGCAGCCACAGAAACACAAACCCTATCCTAAAGAGATTACAGGCCAGATTTAAAATAAACAGAAATTAAATGGTGATCAAAGGAATTTGGGATGGAAAAAAAAAATATATAGCGAGCACTTTTTTGTTAAACTTACAGGTTTCATCCTGCATCTACAGGCCTACTGTTAGTATACTTTCATTTCAGAGTTACCTATGGTATCATATTTCTGTTGACCATTAGAGTGGTATATAAATGTCCATATTTACCTCTTTTGAAAGCACATATAGCACCTCTAACATGCAAAAGAGCTGTTTACATTCTATTTAATACCCACCCCCCCCAGTAGTTTAAACTGCTCTGTTATTGCAAAGAAACAGTTCAGAGTGTTAACACCCCGATTTGTTTCCTATGCTTAGCATACAGATTGCTGGGGACTCCAGGAGATGTAAAAGCTGACAGATTGCTTTTTAATGGTAACTGCCATAAGCAACATCTGCTGAAAAACAAGGTGGATTTTAGTAAGCATTAACCTCGCTGAAGTTTTGCAAGAGGAAATCTTCCATTTTACGGCCATCCTCTACATAAATCTGATCTTAACATAACAAAAAGCCTGCTGGGCTGAGCTATTGGATCTTAATGTCCCATCAGCTCGAGGTCTAAATAATCTCTTTGTATTAGTTGGTAATTTCTTGTAGGCTCAGAATTTACTGCCATCCTTCTATACCATGGCACAGCAGCACCCGAGAAATGAACTGTGGCTAACTGAACTGACCGGCTAGTACAATTAAAATCATCAACCATATAAAGTATCTACACAAGCCATACTGTTTTATAGTAAGGACCGTGAGAGCTCTGGCATGAGAACTGTGTGGCAACTTTGCTTTTGCAAACTTCCGAGTGCAAGTGCTAATAAAATTTTGAAATATAGTACTATGGGTCCTGAGTAAAAAATAAAAAATAATTTAAAAACACATATCCCTGTACCCTGCCAGCCCTTGTAGCTAATGTGATGCATTATTTTCATCGCAGTATTAGTCTTGAAATGAAGAAATATATTACTACTAGTGTAAAACAGTAATAAGGAAAACAGCATTCAAAGAGATGATCATATCTCTATGTGCAGAACAGTCCTGTGCATGCAGTGCATGGTTTGGTCTACTGCTGAAATACAGCTGGAGTACCTCCAAGTACAGTGAAATTCTTTGCATAGAAGAGCAATGTAAAAACAGTTCTGGTGTTACATATGAGCTATCTTCACTAATATAGTTCTTTAATCTGTCCTAGGACTCATCTGAATAAGGTAAAGTTTCTAGGAAACAAATTTTCATTTTCTACATGTCATATGTTGTCAGAATTGCACAGAACAAAAATAATGAGCAGAAAGAACAGCAGATTCCTTCTTCCACTCCTATAACCTTTTATTTTATACATGGCTTCTTCAACATGAGAACTCATTACAAACCATTTGCTACTTCTGTGAACCTTCCAGAGCCACTATTGTATTCTCCTTGGGAAAACATACACAAACTCCTGAAATCTCATATCTGAATTAAAACTGAAATCCTTGCACACGGATAGCTTTGAAATGAAGGTAACTCAGTAGCAACACAAATCTCATTATTTTCCAGAATTCTGGCAAAGAACATATTCAGCCTTAGGGGTGCCTAGACAATTGCCATCTTTCAAAGCATTATGGCCTCAGGATATGGAATACAGATCTTTTACAAATATGGTCTAACTAAACTGTTTCAAAATGTTTTGGAAGTAATATTAATGGTAGGTAGTTTTGGAAAAGCTTACCAAATCTGATTTCTTTTAAGCCACAGATCATACGCTGAATCCATCTGCTGTTTCTCTGTGATACAGACTGCTGGGAAAAAAAAAAAAAAAAAAAAAAAAAAAAGAAAAGAAAAAAAAATATTCTGTATCTATTACTCCTTCCCCAAATAAACATATTCTATTCTACTCACCCACATTACCAAACCATTGATTTAACAGATACTGGTAAAACATACAAAAATTTATTAAGCAGTTTTATCTTTAGCAAATTTTTTATTTCCAATGTATGTCTCCAGAAATGTGTCTGGCTATTCTTCCTGATGTTCCCATATGTTTCTTACACACTTTACACCACCAGTAATGCAAACACGTTCATCATGCAAAGTAAACCACTATCAGATACAAAAGGAGGAGTCTTTATGTTGGTTACATAAGTCAAACCACTATGACTGGGACAACAGAGTAGGTTAATCATGCCTTTATTACTTCCTAAAATTTTATAGCTAGCAGCTTGGAAGATGATGTTTTACTTGCATACAGTTATACATAGCTTTTTTACTGTTACAGAAGGCTATCTTTTTCATGTTCTCATTTATTATTACTAAAAAAAATTCTTTGTATTACTGTAGTCCTTTAACTACATATAGCACATTTTTCCTACAATGAAGGGGAAAAAGGTAAGTGTAGCACCAGGCCTTAAATCTGATCAAGGATTTTTTTTCCCCTCATACCCCTTGCAAAATTTCGTTAGTTCTTAATGCCCATTTTATAAAAATAAGTTTTTTACCTGACAACCCGGGGTGTAGCTCTGTTTCTATTGTAAGCATATGGTTGGTAGCAACTTTGAAGTCTGCCAATAAATGTCACTAACATGAAAGAAAATGAATACTTTACTTTTAAAGAAAATCTTACAGATTTGACTTGTTACTTTTCAGAAAATTTCATTTGGTGTTGAACAATGTATCTCTCATAATAGAACCAGGAGGAATAAAACCATTCATGCTTTAAGATCACTTTTGTCTTTCTGTTTCCAGTTGCTCCCACTTTTCTTTCTCATCCATTCTTCTAACAAATCCCTCCTTTCTACAAAGGACCTGGCTTCCCAAAATGTAAAATCATTTACATAACTGAGTTAAAACCTTTCATTTTTCATTAATTTCTGTTTAGAAAATACAAGATTTCCTACGCGGGGGAGGGGGGGTGGTGGTGCAAAATGCCCACACGGTAGCAACTATTGATCCCACAGGAAGAAAGATCACTGATTCAGAACATCTTAAGGGAAAGTGTTAACTCTTTGTCTCCCCTTTTCAACAGTGCGCCTTTCACCTTTATCCGGTGTACCTAAACCATGCTACATACATCTTCTGAAGCGTCGGTTTACCTCACAAAAGACACCAGGCCCACTGCCTTCCTTACATTTTCCCTCTCCCCAGCGACCGCTCACCACTGTCCTTCACTCACCCCCCTCCCCTCAGGAAGGGGCCCGCTCTCCCCCACAGCACAGGGGCAGGTAGCGCCACAGACCAGCAGCACCCCCGCCTCCATAGGCGCGGCAGCGGGCGCGGCGCTGAACAAGCCGGGAGGCAGAGACGACCTCTCCGCGGCAGGGGTGCCGCTCCAGGGCGAGCTACCCCCGCGGAGGGCCGCCCTCCCGCCCTCGCCA